GTATTCTGCTTCTCCTTGCAAGTGCTGGAGCACAAGGCCGGGGGTCCCTGCAGCGCAGGGGCCATGGGGCACTGCTGAGGACCTGAGGGGCTGCAGAATGCTGACTGGGCCCCTCCAGCTCTCCCCGTCTCCAGCAGTCCCCTTGCAGACCTGTTCCTCTGCCCCCTGGCCCGCACCCCCCCCCCCAGTGCCCATCAAACTGTGGTCTCTCGGCACAACAAAGACCGTCTCCTCGTTCCTCAGCTGCGTCATGTTCCTCACCTCTTCATGGGTGAGGAGAGCAGGGGTGCTCAGGTGCCCCTCTTTGAGGGGGGCTGTTTCCCCACCACGAAGGTGGCATCGCACCAGAGTCTGGCTTTCCCCACGCCTTCTTCAGCCGCTCTTGCATCCAACACGTGTGTGCCTCAAGCCAGGACAGCGGGGCAGGGGAACCCTCCAAGGACAGGGGCATTTCTGTAAGGTCACATCCATGGCGGTGGAGGTGGGATGGGGAGGAGAGGCTGGGCAGCGTTTGGGTGGTCCATGGGGACCCCCAGCACGGGGCACGGGGCGCACGGCGGTGGTGAGCTGTGGCCATGCGTGCTGCAGTGCCACTGCCGTGTTTTCCCTGCTTTGGAAAGGAGAGCTGTCAGGGAGCTTCAAGGGCCGCAGGACAAAAACACGACCGCAGCCAGAGAGGAGCCGCAGGGGTGAAGTCCCGCTGCCCCAGCACGCACGCCCACCCGGCCAGCAGTGCAACAGGGGTGGAGAAGGCTGCGCTGGCAGCACATCTGGGTGAGATGGGCTGCGCCACCTCTCTTGGAGATGCCCTCTGCCACGGTGAGCCGCTCGTCTGTGTGCTGCTGGCTCCAGCAGCCAGTCACGCCGGCTGGGAGCAAAGCCTTCCGGGTAACGGGGCCGGGAAGGGTCCTCCTGAGCCATGACAATGGGCAAAACAAAAACAAAACAGCAGCAAAAGCAGCCCTCTCTTAAAAATGCTGCGGTGAAAGCACTGCCAGGCTTTTCACCTTTCCTAGTGAGTGTGCCGCAGTCCCACGGCCATGGCTCAGGGGCTTCAGAAAGAAAGCTCGCTAATTTTTCCTATTAATTATTACCCTGGCATGGAGGATGGCAACCCATACAGCTCAGCAAGGGGTAAGTTACAGCATTCCTCGCCCAACCCCTCTGCTACAGCTGGGAGAGCTCACACAGAATGAGCTGCGATGGGCGGTGGGACCCATGTTAGCAGCCAGCATCGTTGCCCAGGAAAAAACACACGGACACCAGCAGACTGCAAACCAGCATGTGATACTCCCCACACTGCTACCTGCAGCCTTGGGGGTGACTTTCAGTGGGCTCTCCTGAAAGACAGAGGATGGAGCTGCTGCCCATCGTCTCACAGCAATTCCAGGTCAAAGAATTTACAAGCTAAAACCAAGAAAATCACTCAGCAGGCAAAGCGCCGCCCTAAGCAAAAGGGGAAAGGATCGGAGCAACGCGCAGGTGGTTCCCACGGGGCGTTTGGCTTCGTGTTTCATGGCCGTGCCGGTGGGAGATGTCCTCTTCAGTCAGAGTCAGAACTGCTGCTTGAGCTGCTTGAGCTGGAGTGCTGGAGGAGATAAAACAACTTTAGGGTAGCACAGAAACAACCTGCTTTCACACCATTTCTGATAGGTGTTAGCGATCCAGTGGTGGGTGCCAGTTCCCGGTGCCCAGCTGGGTCCAGGTTGAGCCTGCAGACCCACCTCTCCCCAGGTGCCTTTGCACGCCAGAAAAACGAGTGCCCCCAGGTTTGCATGCTGGCTGAATTGCAAGCCGGTAATTAATTAATGTCATGCCCCAGGGAGCATGTGGAGGGTGAGGTGGTGTGGGAGTCAGCCAGCACCACGGCCCCAGGCAGCGAACCCCAGCCACGATACCTTGACTTGAAGATAAAATGGCTACTGATAACATCACCGCAGTGTTCATTGCAGTGCTGTTACAAACCACGTTTTAGAGTTTGGAGCCGTTCTTTTTCTGCTTGGAGAATATAATTACGGGCATATCATGGGAGGGCTGGGGTTTTTATTATTATTTTACAAGGTTCAGTCCAGAAGTGTCCTGCTCTCTGCCAGCGAGGGCAAACGTCAAGGCAGATCACTTCCAAAGCCATTACACAGTGAGAGGAGCTGATGGTTTGGTTTGCTTGGGAAATGCTCCTACCTCCGATGCTGGAGCTGGGGTTTTGTTTACCGGTCCCTCACTCAGACCTACTCCATGGATGGGCACATCCCTGCAACGGCATTTTCTGCAGCATCTACTCCCGGCACAGAGAATTGCTTTTCCTTTTTTTTTGTTTGGTTTTTGTTTTTTAAGAGGGAACTGAACTGCCCCTCTGCTGCAGAACACTGAGCGAACGTCCCTTGTGGAGGCACGACTCGGTCTCAGGTGGGCAGGACAAAGTCCTGGGATTTAGTACACCGCGTGGTGCACCCTGGGCTGTGTTGCTGTTTCAAATGGCTTCAAGGAATTTCACAGATCACGTTTCAAAAGACTCGCTTGAAATGACTCATGCTTGCCTGTTTATTAACCAAATCGAAGTCTCCACATCTAAAAAAAAGCCACTGAGGTGCTGGCACCCGACTGCAGGGTGGAAGAGAGGAACCCCAGCTGGCGGGTTGGATGCTGTGGCATGCGTGAGGGGGGGTCCGAAGGACCACAGCAGAGATTCGGAAGGGTCTGCCGCCACCTCGCTCTTACCTTGCCCCCATGGTGCTTGGAATGCTTCTTCTTGTGCTTCTTATGGTGCTTCTGATGGGAGTTAGGGGGGCATGGTGTGCACCCCGGCACTCCCGGTGGTCCCAGATGGGGGTGCCCATGGGGATGATGTCCCGGCGGTGGATGCCCATGGG